TACTTTATTCCGTTATAAATCATTGGGGGGGGGGGGGTGTCTTAATTATGCTAATATTTGATATAATGTACCATTTACTCCGTGATTATTGTATAAATTATTATTTCTTGCACTAATTTTCTATACGGAATAAAAGTATTGATGATAAATGGTATGAATTCAAAAGATGTACTTTATTCCGTTATAAATAAATGGTAAGAAAAAAAATGAAAGGAAGGTGTGTGATTTTCCTAATAATTGCTGGAATATTACAATGCAAAAATTTTGTTCTCTCCAAGGAAAATGTATAACGGAATAAAGTTATTTATGACAAATGGTTTAAATTCAAAAGATGCACTTTATTCCGTTAAAGAATTTAAGATAAAAAAGGGAGGTTTGTGCTATTAAATACTTGAATGTTCCATTTACTCACTAATTATGATATATAATTTTTTTTCTCTGTCCGAGGTTAATTTATAACGGAATAAATGTATTGATGAGGAGTGGTGTGAATTCGGAATTCGATATGAGAAAGCATTTTGAAAAAGGGGACTGACTGTCCTAATAATGCTAGGTTTATTTGTATTGAAGGAATACACCAATTAATCCGCTTCGAGGTTTATAAAGCGTAAACTGCCCTAACCAGTATAACTTGGGTAGGTATGAAATCCATCCCTGAAATGTAAATTTGTATTCATTTTCTTCTTGTGGGAAGGGGGTGCCTTTTGCAGAGATTGCTATTGTTTAGAAAAACATGTGTACTTATAGGGGAAATGTTTTTCAAGTTAATAAAATTAACAATTTATTACACAATAGAGGAAATATGTACTTCTAGAGTTTTAGTAGTACTCGTTTATTGTATTTAAGAACAATGGTAGTTTTTTCTAGTATTTGATTTCTGCACGGTTTCAAATGTTTTTTATAACAGGTTAGGAAGAAAAGGCCTTTGTTAGTGGTGTGGCACTGTATACAAGTCCCATACACTATACCCTTTACAGAAGACATGGAATTTAATGAGTCGGAAATCATGATGCTCTATTATATGCATGTTTTTAAGAATATACAATCCATTACAAGACAAACAGAAAATTTTTCTTCATCATATGTTTATTTTGTAAAATTCTCTCTGTATATAATACTCCTGTTATTGGCATCGCGATGCTAATAAGTTTTGAGGTGTTTTAATGTGTCTCGTCTCTCTATATATACTCCTGTTATTGGCATCGCGAAGCTAATAAGTTTTAAGGTATGTAAATGTGTCTCGTCTCTCTATATATACTCCTGTTATTGGCATCGCGATGCTAATAAGTTTTAAGGTATATAAATGTGTCTCGTCTCTCTATATATACTCCTGTTATTGGCATCGCGATGCTAATAAGTTTACAGGTATGTAAATGTGTCTCGTCTCTCTATATATCAGTGTATATGCTCCTGTTATTAGCATCGCGATTACAAGTTTATTAATCATTTTATCTAAATTTTATTTTCAACCATTTAAATCATTAAATATTGATATTTAACAACTTTTAACGCTTCTGACGTTAACATAAAAAAACCTCAATAATTATTAGCATCGCGATGCTAAACACTGAAACCTCGTTTTATTTTTTTTAAGGAAAATATTCAATTAGTTCGCGAACTTTTTGATCACCCCTCGTAATGTATAATTTATTTTAAGTTTTAACTGTTCTTGATAGTTTTCATTCATAAGCTGTCAATAAATGTACATGAACATTTCCATGTACGTTTCCCCTAATTAAGGTCTAAAGGCAATCGCGTCTTTTGTCTTTTTAGCAGAGTTCCAGACTCTACAGATAGGTAGTCTCCTTCAATGTTTATGAAAAAGGGGTTGTCGAGGATACCTTCTTACAATATTTATGTAACACATCCGAGGTTGTTTCTCCGTTTGTCGGAAATGCCCGAGAAGTCGCAATGCCCAGGGAGTTTGTCGACAGAGACTAAATATCCGAATTTGGTTCATCTGCAATTGCATTTTGTCAACATGAATAAGAAAAACGTTAATGCAGCAGCAAATGAAACTTTATGTATAGCCGTAACATAAAGGGTGAAGCGACGAAGTCAAACGGACCTCTGAATCCGTACTTTTGGTTTTTGTTTTATTGTTTAACGTCCCTCTCGAGAATTTTTCATTCATATGAAGACGCCACCACTTGCCGTGGATAGCTGCAAATTTTGACCTATACTCGGCACTCAGGGCCAGGGAACTTTTGTGCCAGCACCTACTGCGACACGGGACCTCGTTTTATACGTTCTCATCCGAAGGACCGGTCTCCACGTCCCACAGTGGGATTCGAACCCGCGACGTAATTAAGGATCAACTCCTTACTCCGCGACTCTAGAGCGAACGCTCTAACCACTAAGTCACGCGGGCGACGTCACCTTTGGTGAAACACTCTTAGGTCTAAAACTGTACCTAATGAAATATAAAGATAACGTCAGTGATCATTTTCAGGAGTTATTTGAAATTCTGTATCCATTGTCCATAAATAATCTGCAATAAATAAATACTAAACACGGTAACACTGGGTAAAGATGATGCCGATGAAGTGGAACATGAACAGCGAAGTCGGACATCTAGAATTTAAAATCAGATCCGTTGAACGTTTCGCTTTCAACATGTTGACCTATAGTTTTATTTTCTGATTTTAGGTTTAATAATTTTATTTCAGGAAAATAATTCTGGACTATTATCATGTTGTAAATTTTGATGACGTCCACTTTTCAATCGTCATCTTCCCTTACTCATGTAGCAATATACCCTTATCACCTGCATATGTCTCTCAGATGATAAGATACGCAAGAGCATGCTCTGCGTATGAACAATTCCTAAAACGAGGCAAGCTATTGACAAACAAGTTGATGAAACAAAGATATCAACAGTCTCGTTTGAAGTCATCTTTTCGCAAGTTTTACGGTCGATACACTGACTTTGTCAGAAATTATTACCTATCATTGAGTCAAATGCTGACTGATGTTTTTCATACTAATTGTTAAGTCATTATTTATACACTGAACTGCCTACGCATTTTTCCGTTTTTCTCCGATCATGACAAGGAGCACTCGGCGGTTGTGACCGGTCGGCAGGAAATTCTCACTCCCCCATGGCACCTCATCCCACCTCTAAATCTTCAGGTCCGTGTTTGCTCTGCTCCAAATTTGTATCGTTTCATTGGACTTCCGAGATTGAAAAATGTTTGTTATCTTCATATTTCATTATGTGTCTTCATTACATATCACTGAGCACTATAGTAGATACGAAACCATTCCCAGTCAATCAGTTATTTAAATCAGAAAAAAGATATATGTGCATGATTTCTTTCCATTAAATGAAACAAATATACAATGAGAAAAAAAAACTATGTTGACTTTAAGATTAGGAAAGCCTATTAACATGTTCTAATCCTGTGTCAATCATCAGACCCATGATATATCTGTACACATATATCTGTACACGTGTGAATCATCAATTTTATTTTCAGTTTTAAGGAAGTTCTAAACACTAACGAAAAATGCTTTTTGGATTAGAGAGAAATATATCATATAAAGGTGCACATATTCAGTGTATCTAGTTCATTTTCAACATAGGGTACCTGCCTTATTTATGCAGAAAAAAATTTCAAAGACAATGAACTATTTGTGAACAGAAATCACTGTTGTTTACTTGCATCGGGAAAATGAACGGAAATAATGTATTCAATTACTTAATCTTGGTCTAACATAACATTACGAATACTTTAATTCATAAGAAATTGTGTCATTAACTGTAGATTCCAATTTATTCTATTTTTCTTCGAAGGGCAGATCACTCTAACTTAATAAAACTACCATACAAATAGAACTCTTTAATGTGCAGTGTTTAGAGCTTCCTTAAGGACGCAACATTCAATTCTGAGATTTCAGGGCTACTGACATGGTTGTTACAAACTTATACTTAGAAAATCAACAAATTTATTTTTAAATTTTATTGATAGTTGTTAGAATGAAAAAAAAATATATGCAATCATAAATTCACATCTTTGTATATATCATGGATAAATACATTTTTATTTAAGTCTTCTGCCACTGATATATTTTCCAATTAAATAGAATATGACACTGTTACAATGTAATGTCAATCATCAATAATCAATAACATCAACTTTTAAATGAACAAGTAAATGCATATGACTATCAATACAAATGTACTGCTAGATATAAATTTTTTGCACCTTATCATGTGCAGTTCTCCCTAATGATTTCCTCATACATGAACAAGTGTGCATGCATTAATCATATTTGGCGATATAAACCGAATGAAGGTAAAATATAGAAGCGCTAAAATCTCTTCCTATAGTTAGCGTTTCCCAAATGCCCTATCAAATAAAAACCTCTTCTTCCTTGATGGGTTTCAATAATAGTCCATTCTAGCTGTTCCATTTTAACTGCATGACTGTAGTTTTCCTTTTCTTAAACTTACAATGTTAATGATAGAAAAATCCTAGTTGTGTTTAAATGCAAAAATATGATTTTCATACATTTATTAAAAGAATCCTATTCGGCACAAGCTCATTGTATCGCTACAAACATATACATCGGAGTAAGATATGCCTCTTTTATCAACTGAAATCTCAAGACCGAAACTAAATTTTACTTTCACATTTCATTTCTTGGAATTATAGTCATATTTTTGGAGTACAAATATTTGATTTAACATTTTAATAATGATAAAAATTTACATGTATTTACTTTGTACATATATACATGACTGAGAAAACATTAAGAAGTGTATTTTTACAATCAAATAGGGCCTGACGTTCCCTTTTCTAATTGCATATGTGTAAACACAAGGTATTGCTTTAGTTTTATTTGAATTGTGTTGAATTCGCATTATAGTCTTTCTGATTATTAAATGGTTGAAAACAAAATTCCCATGGTCATATAAAAATGTTTGCATTGAAACCAATTCCGAAATAATAATCTGCAAATGCGGAAAAAAACCAAAAACAGAACAGGAAAAAGAGTTATTCGTAAGGGTGGACACACACGTCAGGCAGAACTGCTTTTCCTGCAAACCCGTGTCCATCGTTTTTTCTATGACCATAAACGATTAATCCGAACGCTGCATTATTTGTAGATTTAACTCTTAACAGACCTCCCTGTACTTGTAAAACAAGCACGACAAAGTCCATGTCCCTAACTGTTACGGTTGTGTAGAATTTCCTGTCATTCAAGTAATGTATGATTTTTGTTTCGTTTAACATTAAGTTTTTAAGAGATTTTTCTTCAATGGTTAAGCCGACGTAATTTTCTTTGAAGTTTGCAGGAACAACCACTAGATATTTATCTGTATACTGCCTAATTCCTGGTACATTATTCATATAAGGGTCACCTGTGTCGTAAGATCCAGTAGAAAAACTAGTAACCAGCACCGGCTTTTCTGAATCTATCACAACGGCCTCTTCATCGGAGAAATTGATTTCAAAGTATCCACTCGGTTGAAGTGTTTTCTTCGTTTGTTTATTACCTATTTTATAAATAAGCCGGTTTTCGAAAGGAGACACGATTTTCAGGACTGTTCCTATCCTATTATAGTTAGGTGGGACAATATACATGTTATCCAGTCTATCGATAGGTGGAAGTTGTTCATCAAGCTTACTGCAATATCCAGAATCGCTACTGTTTCTAAAAACTATTTTTTCGCAATAACTTCCAGCAAAAACTGAGATAGGCGATGATGCATGAATTAATGTACCTGATAAATCAACAGTGTGCGATATTTCATAGGTTTGAAGCTCATTTAAAACAAGAATAAATTCACTAGCATCTCGATAAGTTATCCCATTTATTTTTTTGGGCAGATTAGGTTCAAACTTGAAAACAATTTTAATTATGGTACCATTTTTTGGACAGGCTATTGCAAATTGTGGTCCATGTAATTTATTAAACGCTTTGCCGGTAGAAATGACATATGAACTCGATAACGATTTTGTTGGTAAAATTACAGTGCTATCAGACGATAATTTAAAATTATCAATAATGATGACGGACACGTCCCTTGAAGTCTCGATCAATAGTGCTTTTTCTTCGATTTTGAAATCTGAAATTCCAATCGCATTTGTGACATGTATTTCTTTTAAATTCCTGGTTGTTGTCTTTACTTCATTGTACAGCTGTGTTGAATCTGTAAACTTCGAGACTAATTTAAAATCGAAATTGTCATCTGATAAAATATATATAGTCTTGCTTTGATTTCTAGCATTGCGGTGATTCTTAGTAAAGCAGACCAAGAACTGAACACCCTGAATTCCTGCAAAACAAATGTGAAAAATATAACATTTTTTGTAGAAATTGTTTTTTTTTTAAGAAAAAAAGCGACCTTGTAACGAATTTACATAGTGCCCCAACCTACCTGTTTTTCCTGCTGCAGTATAATTCATTCCTTTGGAAGGTACATTAGGGCAAACCATTGTTTTCTGTTCCGTTTCCCCTTTAAGAGGAATTTGATCATAAAAATTCATGTAAGGTATGGTCTTGTTTTAATATGTATTTTCTTGATATTAAATTTGCAATTTGCTTCCTTTGTAGGACATTAAAATACATCTGTAGAAAACACTAATGTCTGTGCATCTTCTCTAAATTTATCATCACCAATCATTCTTATATCCTAAGTAAGACAATACTAAAAATAACATTTCTAATGTTTTTTACCGAAAAAGAAAGAACATAGGACTACTTGGAGTGTGATATGCAGGAATCATGTGTAAGAAACATTTATTTTATAGTTTAAATATCCAAGATTTAGTTGGCTGACCAAGCTGGTCAGACTTTGGAAAGTGACGCGCATGGGACAATGATACATTTACATTGAAATACCTTGTTCAATTGTAAAAAAAAAAATAATAAGTCCGATAATCTTAACAGTTACGATAACATAGTGACAGGTCACATGAATAATAAACATCTACAAGATAATACAGTATAGTTAAAAGCGATTATATTAAAGTTTCGGAAGGTTAGAATTGATGTCGGTGCAACTGAGCCAAAAGTTATCTATTTTAAATTTTAATAAATCAGTAAATAAAAATAAATTAACACAATTTAAACTAAACATATGGATTTTAAGATGACAATGAAAGAAAGGATTTATACATGGGATTTTTTTTTTTTGGGGGGGGGGGGGGCGGGGGGATTCATTTTTAAGGCCTCTAGGTCGTCTCGTTATCTGTTTAACTCTCGGTCATCGGACTTACAATGCATCAAATACAGAGTCTGAAAACGAAAAAGAATTTACCGTCATTTTTATTTCTACCTTTATTTCTTTCCTGAAGATAAAACAGAGTCATCGTTCCACAGCCGACGACTAAAACAAGGACGACGAAGATGACAACTGTTTTAACACAAATCCTCGATGTATTTTTCTGTTGTACTTTTCTGTCCTCTTCTAAATGTCCCATTTTTTCCGACTTCGTGGTCTTTATGGAAAAAAGGAAAACAATAGTCATTTATTATTTATTCTCCGTTATACTTTTTTTATCAAAGATTACGTGTTGATAAAAAAATATACAAACATATTTATTACTCCCGTTTTGCACATTAAATTTCGAAAAAAATTTATGTTCCTTTATTGTTTTACATGTACTACTACTTATTATAATTTTTACCGAGGAAAAAAATATTAAATTGCGTTTTAAGTTTTAATAAAAATTATTTAACAGTTATTCATTTGTTTTATTTTTTTTTTTTTTTTGGTTGTTTATTGAAAAGTTTATTACAAGTTATATATCTAGTTCTTTATTAGCACACATTATATGAATAATGAAACAAAACAAAACATTCGTCTAGTAATTATTACCAGTACTTCATACGCATTGTTGTCCATGTGGCAAAACTGTTCTTTATAATTCTGTAAGTAAGGCATAAAATGATTATCCCAATAGGTATTTATGTATATACACAGGATTCTCCCATCACATAGATTACATAATTTATTGTGAATACTTTTATAGAACTTTGATTAACTAAGAATTTTAATTATTAATTTTTTTTAAATTTAGATTAAGAGCATTAAAATTACGTAACAATTTAAAATCCTGTTTCTCTTTTGATAGTTGTATCACGATTTTTAAAAAAAGTATACATGTAAGTAAAGAAAAGTTTTGACAAACTTAGCTGCACTGTAAAACAAGAAAAGAATGTAGTGTCCGGAAAACAAAATCTATATATATAACGCATCATAGTTATCGTCAATATCAAAATCACGTGACTTTTATTTATTTTCTTCTTTGTTTGGCACTTGCAAACAACATTAAATTGGAGTAAGCCAATGTAAGGAATATGTGTTCTGATACAACTGTATCAAAATTCTCAGTCTACTGATCTTCATTTCATGGGACAAGAAACATAGGTAACTTTTTGCATTTTATTTTTTTTTCGCAAGCGCATCATGAGAATAAAGAAGTGAAGCCACAGAGCGTTGTGGACCAGACAAAAATTATATTTTCTCCATAAAAGTAGATTTTTAAAGGTTCTGAAAAATTTGATTTACTGACCTTACTGACTTAGTGATCTAAAAGTGGCGTCCTCGATCTAATTGAATATCTACTTGCCCTTAAATTTATATCAGAGGTTTAAAACTCCTTTTATTTTTCTTTTATGAAAGACAGCAAATTGTTCTGAAATGAATTCATTTAAGGAATTAATGTAATATCTACCCATATTATATCGTATAAACTGGGTTGGGGCAGTTTACGCTTTATAAACAGCGAAGCGGTTTTTAAAAACGCGTAAGCTGTTCAAACCCAGTTTATACGGTATAAATTGAGTAGCTTTTAAATTCACTCCTTATAATTTAATTTTCATTCATTTAGTAAGTAAATAAAATGATTGCCCTTAAAAATGACTTCAAATTGTACAGAATTTAAATGCAACATCAAGGGGATTGATACATCATTTTCGACGTAGGCAGCACAGTTTATACGATATGAAGTATTTTTTATCCAATGAAATGACGCGTTACAACCAAAATTTAAGTATTCTAAATAAGTAGGAAGAAATCCCTTTTGCTAACCTTACATGCATTTATATCCAGGACTTAAGTTTAAAACAGATTTTCTTTAGGTCTTGTGAAAAGCAGATAACCGAAGAAAAAGATTCAAATAATGGTGATAATGACAATTAAAAGTTGTGGATGAAGATTTTGATGACATAATGATAACATGTATACCTGTCCAAACTTGAGTTCAGCCATTGTACACTACTCGTCTTATCAGTGATATTCTTTGTTGACCTAGAAGTAATAAAAAAAAAATTACTATATTGTTGCTCGTGAATTTCTTTTTTACACTATTCATTTTTTTCATATGTAAATTGCGCAGTAGAAAGAAAAAAAAATCTTATATTGTATATTGTCGAACAAGCACTTGATTAAAGGGAGATTTATGTAAATTTGCAAAAATAAATTTAGTATTACTTTCAATAACCTAATGTTTTCAAACATAGGAAACATTTGGGATAAGACTAGGTTGGTTTTCGTACACTCTAAGATACCTAGTTTCATTTTCATTAAAAGAGAGAAAGAGATTCGCCCACTTGATTTCATATATCTAAAAATCAGTCCATTCTTCTCATACTTTTTTTGTGACTGGAAATTCTGCGTTATTTGTAATGTTATTTAAAAAAGTTTTGCAAATATTCGGATACGTGAGGGAAAGGGAGGGGGACACAAAAGATATAAGGCTTACCGAGTATTTGCAATCACAAACTCACAAGCACAATTTTAAATACCCCGATCACTTAAATTTAAGTCAATATACTTTTCTAAAGTTTTATAAAACCATTTAGTGTGAACATTATACAAATTTAAAAAAAATAAAGAATTTGCTATATTCTACAACACAGAAAAATCAGTATTTTAGGAATCATACACCAAAAATTTCAGAACTCTATTGCTCGGTTAGATAGAATTGGTTTCGAGAAAATACTTTTATGGACATAAACTGGACTGAAATAAAATATATTAAAATGAAAATAACATAATTTTGTACTTACATAAAGTTTGAGAAAAGACTCCTCAATCCAAAATGAAATGTTCACTCTTAACATGTATGAAAATGTTAGTACTTGAGTACATCAGTAACTGAACTCAGCATAAGAGCACTGAGATGTGAAAAATGTCTTGATTTGTTCCCTAGTTTATAAAATATATATATAAAAAATTCAACAGGAAAAATAACTTGGAAAGTTGAGATTAAGTGACATTTGACTTCACCACAGATGACCGTCTAATTTCATCTTGTATGTATACAATAAATATTTCACCGATTATTGCAATGTTTTCATTGGCTGTTGACTGTAAAAATTAACACAAAAAGAGGAAGTTTTAAGTGAAGCACAGGTTACTCTGAGCTTGATTGTTACTTTATTTTCAAGTATATAAAATTTATTTCTGTACTTAGTTCTACTTATAATAATTTAAAGTCCCAAAACATAAGCTGCAAACAATAATTAAGTGTGTTAAGATTATACTAGAATGATATACAAATATATTTTTATCGACTGTTTGCATATCTGGTTCATTTGTCGATTTCTGAAAAAAAAGAAAGAAGAAATTGTG